CAAGGTCGGTAGTTCAAACACACCAAATCCTCCTTGGAAACCCTATGATGTTGTGGTTAGTGCTGTCAAGTTAGTTCCAACTCATAGGGGCCCTATATAGGATTTCTGAGGAGTGACTAGCGAGTTTGAGCTGCCAACCTTGCGGTTAGCAATCCAGTGCTTATTGTGTGATTCAGAACTGATTCAATGGCACTTAACAACATGAACAATATTTAAGATAAAAATAAAAGAATCTTTGATCTTGTTTTATCAAGCTCAACTAAAGACTTCCGTTTTCTTTCTCCCTAAAAATTTATTATTTATTTTAAGTTAAATACAAGCAATATGTCTTTGGGGGGGGCACTTTATTATTTTTTTAGTTGTGAATGATGTGACAGTCTACATGGGATGACACTCGCCCCACATTCATCCTATCCTACTTTGCTTCACTGCAATCATTACAATTCCCTGCATGCATCATCACCCAGCCAAAGGGTACACCCCGCAAGCCTGCCCCCCTGGCCATCAACACACAGACCCTCTCCCTTCCTGAGTCCAGATTCCCCAGCAGCTCCATCTCTCCACGTCATCATCTTTGCCTCCATCTCTGGTGTCACTGCTTCTCTGGGCAAGGTCCTGCACTCAGCTCCTCTCCCTTGATGGTCCCAGGGACATCCGTTCCTGAACTACAAAATCAACCACTCTCCTCCTTTTGTTAAAAAACATCTACCTTTATATTTCCAACACTTACGGTCAGACCCGTAGCAATCATTGACTATTGAACAAAAGTCTTATCCCCATCTACTTTCATCAGCCCAGTCCAGACAGATTGGAAACCACTCAGTGGAGATTCTACCTTCTTGGGGGCACTTTTTACATTCATTATCTCATCTAATCCTTACAATAGCTTTATGGAGTAAACATTATATCCCATGTTAGAGATGATCAAGATTGAGATTCAGCAAGATCCTGTGATTTCCTGACAAGGTCACATAGCTAATACATGCTTTCCATACTTGAACCAGGACTTGTAGTAATAGTTCCATGGTCTTGCTACAACATCAAATGCTAAGGCATTTAAGACAACCCACAGACTCTGAGATGCAAAATCAAGAGTCCAGGCTAATAGTCCAACTGTTAGAAAAACAAATTAGGAGAAACAATGAATAATGCAAACATTCTTTGATCAGTATGGTCTTTGACAGAAATTCTAATTAATTTGCCCAGTATGGGCATAATGGAGACTGAAATAACTCTCAGGGGAGGATAGCTCACTTCCAACATCAGTTACTGTTGGAAGCCCAGAGGATGGCTCTCTACTGCTAAGCCTTGAGACCAGGAAGCAGTCTCAGTGGTTGTTTTGTTTTTAAAAAATATAGAGATATCAAAATTATATCGTTAAAGTTATACAAGGTATGCATGATTATCTCATAAAAAATTATAAAACAGAGATAAAGCACAAAAGAAAAATTTTAAGTAATCTAAACTCCAACCTATATAGGAATATGGTTAACATTTTAGCATATACATCTCTGACTTTTTCCAAAAGAAATATATAATAGATTATACCATGCAAAGTTCTTAGTAACCTGTGTTTTTCATCAAACACTAGATTCTGGATATGTTTCCCTAATTTTAATCAATCTAAATTATTTGAATTTTGACCAATCCTCCCTAGATAGATATTTAAATTCTTTTCTCTCTTTTTTTTGTTGCTATAAACTTTATACTAATAACCAAATTCTGTATACACATCTGTGCACATGTCCAATGATTTCCTCATGATAAATTCCCTGAAGTCGAATTATTGTGCCAAACAGCATGCATTAATGGGGCTTCTATTGTAAAATGCTCTCCTGAATTGTTGTACATCCCCTCCAGTTGATGATATGTCCCCGTATCCAGCCAAACCCGTGTGGTTTTTGATCAGTGCTTTTATCCCATGAGGGGAGCGAGGCAAGGAGGTTGAAATGAGAGGCAGTTGAAACAAGTGTAAAAAGGTTTCTTTAATTTCTTCTTTCTGGCCCCTCCCACTCTCTTAATATTTTTGCTATTTGGAACTCTGGGCCTGAAAGGTTCCCTTCTCAGCTCACATTCCCCAGCCTTCCTACTGTTATGTTATTTGAGTTTAGATCAGTCTCCCCAATAGTAAATATACATCCCTTTGAGGTGAGGGACAACACCTTGTATATCAAGGTTGGGAAGCAATATCACGCAGTAACAGGGTCACTGTGAAATGCTTAAGGATTCTGAAATTTTTTAACCAAGCTTGCTAGAAAGAATTGTTTTAATACACTCTCCCACACTCATCTGCCAGTCATGGAAACAAAGCTACACTGAAATTTGTTAAAAACAAAGGAGCAATGGCCAAGACTGGTTATACATTCCCACACCTCCTCTTTGGATTCTTTCTCTCTGCCACTGAGTCCACTCCCTCCAAGATCTCCTCCACTAACTAGGCACTGAAATGCCTCCATTTGCTTTAATTTAAAGGGGTACCATTCTGAGGCTAAATTCTTATGAACCATTCTTTGCTCTCCATTCTTCACATATTCCAAATTGGGGGTCACACCCACCTCCTTGCTAAAATTCTCACCTTTCATTTAGGACAATTAAAGTATGGCGCCGTAGGATGAGCACTGGACTGCAAACCACAAGGTTAGCAGTTCAAACCCACCAACTGCTCCTTGGAAACCCTATACAGGGTCTCTATGAGTTGGAACCGACTTGATGGTACTTAACAACAAAAAGAAACAGCTTTGTACAATGGCTAATGTTTCTGTATTTTCCTTCCTGTTCAAGAGGACTAGTAGGAGCCAACCTTATTCAGTTTTTATAGTCAACTTCCTTCTGTGTAAAGCCTTGCACAGATGCTGACATAAAGAATAATTGTTGTTAATTGCCGTAAAGTCGGTTCCGACCCATAGCGACCCTATACAGGGTTTCCAAGGCTATAAATCTTTACGGGAGCAGAAAGCCTCATCTTTCTCCCTCGGAGCGGCTGGTAGTTTCAAACTGCTGACCTTAAGGTTTGCAGCCCGATTCGTAACCACTACGCTACCAGAAGAGTTAAATAAAGCAGAACTTGGTGTTGCGTGCTTGCCTATATTATTAATTTTGTATTCGATTTTCTTACTGGTAGTGTCCACATTCAGGATGCATAACTAAAGAAACACATGGAACTTTGCCTGTTGTTATTGTTAAGTGCTGTCGAGTCGGTTCCGACTCATAGTGACCCTGTATAGTGTTTCCGAGGAGCAGCTTGTGAAGTTGATCCGCCAACCTGGCAGTTCAAATCAACCTTGCAGCGCATGTTGTTGTGAAGTATACATATTAACCCACAGCGCATGTTGTTGTGAAGTGCCATCGAGTCAATTCCGACCCATAGCGACTCTGTAGTATTTGCAAGGAGCAGACAGCGCACAGGACATATACATTTATTACAGTCTCCTACCTTTGACCTGCGAACCGACTCCACGGCACATAACAACAACAACAACAACAACAACAACCTTTGACCTGTTGTGGCACTGGATGGCAAAGTTGGTTTGAACGGCAACGTCCGTGATGCAAACTCATCAGCTGCTCCTTAAAACTCTATACAGAGTCGCTATTAACCTTTGACCTGGAGACTTAGCGCCCCAATACCTTGTTTTTAACACTCCAGGGACTTAAAAAATGTCTCTGGGGCTTGTACTGAGGTATGGCTTTGTAGAACAAGCATTCGCTTTGAACCACAAGGTCGGCGGTTCAAACTCACCAGCATCTCCTCAGAAACCCTATACAGGGTCGGAACCGACTCAATGGCACTTAACAACAACCAACCTAAAGGTTGGAGGAATCCATTCAGTGGTCCCACGAAAGACCTCGGATCTGTTGTTAAAAAATTAAAACCAATAAGATCGTTCACTTCCTATCAACTTTTCTCTTTTTGGTTGATGTTGTTTGTTTTGAGACTGAAAGAGGAGAAATAAGATGGCAGCATATAGGAACAAATGGGCTAATAGTAGCTCCTTTTTAGGACAATCCTCTTCCAAAAGACATCTGCACATACTATACTCTTATCTAGATGTGGGAAGACATTCGTTTTCTGGATTTCACCTTCTACCACCTCAAACCAACTGTGTCAAAATTACCCCCAATTCACCTGGATTCAGCATTCACGTACATTTACATAGATTATTACTTATTTTAAGAGGGTAATTAACTGCCTTATTTTTACCAAAAAATACACAAAGCAATACAGTCCAAATCAATTACTAAACATCTACAGGGCAAAAAAGAAGAGAGCAGAGACAATAATGGTAGAGGAAACTTTGGGAGTTACTTGGAGTCATTTCTGAGACTTCACGCTTCTTTCCCTCCCCTTTACTTGGCCACCCCCACTCCCCTTACGCACCCCTGGCCTCCCCACCCTGTGCCCTGCTGGCTCTCCCCTAGAGGCCCCGCCCCGGTCCCGCCCGAGGCCCCGCCCCGCCGCCGACGTCAGTTGTTATGTCTCGGCTCGGGGCTGCGGCCGCAGCTTATCCACTTCTTCGGAGGCAAAGACCGCGGCTTCAGGGGTTGGCTGGGGTGTAGAGGACAGCGGCCGTGACTTGCGCCGCCCATCCAGGCGGGGCGGGCAGCTAGATAGCGCCTGGGGAATCCGTACCGGGGCTTAATTTTGCTGTTTTCCCTCCGGGACCGTCGCCCTGCGCGTCTGACTTCCTTCTGCTGAGATCGCGACGCCCCCTCTCGGCCCGGGCCGCGGCGCTCGCTCGCCCGCCCTTCCGCCAGAGCGAACCTGGAGCCACCGCCGTGTTCGCAGCGCTTTTCGCAGAGCCTGGGTGGCCGGCGCGGCCTGGGGCCTCGACGCCGGGCGCGGCA